CCTGACATTCAGATGGGAAGCCAACATTCTAACTGGAATGAGAGCTGGACAGGAAGCAGGTGTGACGGCAGAAGAGCAGACGGCCGACTCCACCCTCGAGGAAGAAACCCACAAAACTGCCTACCCCAGTGTACGGTTTGGGAAAAAAACTCCAAACATACAACCTAATTATTATTGCAAAGTTTAGGCACGTTTTCTAGCTCTGTCACAATCTTTTATGCAATCTAAAAAAATGGCAGAGGCAAGCAAGATCTTTGTCCAAGTGATGACAACATGGTGTTAGCTGGTAGAACAGAACATACTCCAACCCTGGTCAATTCACTGTAAATTATTCTTATTTCAACCTGGAAAGACTCACACAGAAACACAGCAATTTGACAGATTTATTGATAAATTAGAAAGTTCTTTGGCTCCCGGACCCTGGTCGAAGATGTGGAAGCTGTGAATGGCGATGAACTAGGATTAGAGATGTTTCCCCATGCACCGGACACTGGTGGTGGAGGAAAGGCCAGAGGAGAAGGAAGCCAGAAGACGTCTTGAGAGCATGATGGAGGAGATGGGTTAGAGGAGATAGGTTGGAGGAGGGTCGAAGCTCTGCTGAAGAGCTGTAGAGTCTGTGAATGAAGGTCTTTCAAAGTGGAGTCTGATTGGAGAATTGGCGTTGGAAACTTGACAGTGATTGGCTGGAGCAGAGGCGCATGATGAGGGAATTGGATGCAGCTGGAGAGGCAGGGGTGAGTCTTCCAGTTTGAATTTGCGTCCAAACTTCATAATTTAATTTTCAATTTGCTTCAAACTGTAAAATTGCATCAGTTAGAGGGGGCTTATTTTGACCTACATTACCAGTGAAGTATAGCTTTTTTTAGAAAGGTTCAAATTTTAGAGAGGTGTTACAATGTTGGTTTGTTTGACACATTCTGGAGAATGATTAGAATCTTTATCTTTATTTCTTTTGCTTAGCCTGGAACTGAGTTCATTATTAGAATATCCTTCTCAGTGAAATATACAAAATGATTTGCAGTGCAGAAAACATGTCCTTGGTGTGTACATGTTGTTGCACTGCTTTGTAATGTTTAGAAAGCCCATCAAATAAAATAACCCACTAGAATAGGATGTGTATCTGTTTCCTTAAGAACGTATGACAATGATGACATGAGAAGGGTAACAGTGAGTTGCAGCTCTCGAGCTTCCGTCCATGCAAGTGTAGTTTTATTTAACATTTTTTGTCGGAGAGAAACTATTCACAAGCATTATTCACTCAAAATGAGCATTCACCGGCTGAGAGCTGCAGGTCAGTCCTGCCCTGAGTCTCTGCACGCTGTGTGGAAAGGAAGTGACGGAATTGTGTGAATCTCCATTCACTCTGCCATGCTCGGTCTCCTGCAAGCTACATTCATGGTGCCCGTTTGTGTTTCGCACGCTGCATTTTGGCGTTGCTCTCTTTAAATGATGCTCCTCTGTTATATAAACCCTCTCACCTTGAAGAAGGGGAATATCTTTTCTGAACCATGTGTACAGATCAGTGTGTGTTCTTAGTCTCTGTAGTGTTTTCATTTTGATCGTCTGGTCACTTAGGATAATTGTCTCATTTGTCTCCACTCAGTAACCAACCTTCACTTTATTTGAGCTTTTTTGGTTTCACTCTCTATCTGATCCTCATCCATCTTCAATACTTGTTATGTCCCCAAATGTCTCTCTATTTGGTCCTCAGGTTTTTGCTAATCTCTGTATTTTTTCTACTTTAGTTTAGTTGGTATTTCGGCCGGTCGTTCCTGTTTACGATCTAATATCCGGTTGTCCGAGTCCACACACTGGAGCCCGTGACAGAAATAGTGAAAGGTTTGCACTAACACAGCTTTGAAGCGAGGTCTCACATCCATCAAGATGCACACGACAGTAGGCACAGCAGGGTTTGGTGTTTTATACAAGCATGCGTTGACATTTAACCTGGGAGAGTTCACAGTGTGGCTCCAACCTCAGTCAGCAATTATCTGCTGACTTCTACATCCGTCTGTGATCTGTGTCTGCTGTGAGGCGTTTACCCTTCCTGCACGTTCTCAGAAGCAACTTTGACCAGTGCAGCTAACCAACATGCTCTTAGGATGCATGCATGTGCTCCTAAGGGCTTCCTTTTTCTTTTTTGGGGATAACCTCCCCAGTTTAAGGCCAACTATTTCAATATGAGCAGAAAAAATCAGTAGAAAGGTGACAGTTTAGGTGTACAGACATGTTTAAGTTTGACAACTATATGATGAGCAAAACTAATTGTCCTGTATTTCTTTCTTTTTCTTTAAATGTCTTTGTCTTTGATCAGTAAGCCTTGGGGTTTGGGTGGTTTCTGAAATTCAAACTGTCTTCTTCTCATCTCACTGAAATCTGATTTTCATTTTTGTTCTGAGGTTAGGTGTAATGCATCTTTGATGGAGTGATATGAATGGTTGTCCTACCATAGGTAGCACAAAAGAATCAGGAGTATGTTCACCTTTTTTGTTTATCCTTTTACTAATGAGTGAAATCTTTTAACTTTGTTCAGTTCAATATTAGAAACACTCTATAGTATACCCTATACCCCCTTGATTCATCTCTGTATCTCTTTCCTTTGTAATATAACCTTCAAACTTCACAAAACAACAGGAAGACTTTATCAAATTTCTTGTGCTTGATTAATCAGTTGTTTGACTCCAATGAGAGGAGGATTTCATCATTTAATTGTCTTCACTGAGACGGAAAAGGAATGGCTTCCACATGAGCTGTGAAGGAAAGCCCTTTAAAGTTTAAACTCAACATCACAGAGACGGGGAACACATTCCCAACATGCTGCAGCACCTTCACTCTTTACATTTGACTGGAGGTAATCTAAAAGTAAATTATGTTCACAAAGGCCTCCTGTTTTCCGGCTTCATACGGGAATGGTATTTATAGATTAATAAGTTTGACAAATAAGGCTTGTGGTGATACAGAAGTGTTTGATTGACTTTGCTCTCCAGCTCTCTTACAGCTCAGCGTAGGCCATGCAGCGCGCTTATCTCAAATCAAATGTGCTGATACGCTCAGATGACCTTTGAATGTCAGAATCTGACATTTAAGTGCTCACAAACCAACAGGCCTTTCCAGAACAACTGATCAACAATTTCAAACACTTATTTTTTTAGAGGGAATTGTCATACTTTCAATTTCAGCTTGTCCTTTAGACAAAAAAACTCATTTAAACTGGTAAACATTTCAAATGATAAAGCTGAGCTATGTGTTCACTGGCACATTAAATCAGACCACTTGACATGTATCTATATCTTCAATTCCGACAAAGGATCCTTTCAAGTCTCAAGTTAAATGTGGGAAATGACCATTCGCAACTTTTCACATAATTATATACATGTACTGAACAAGGGTTTTGTTCTATTTTATATTGAAGTAAGTATTAATGAAATACCTTCAGGATCAACAGAAACATAACAAGAGAGAAAATGAAAGTGAAAAAGGAAATTAATTACACTTCTTTATTTGTGAAAATAAGACATTCCATCATAATTCAGCAAATCATTGCAGGAATCGTTATGGATTTTCTTGAAAGAATCTGTTGTTTTCACTAAAATCCCCAGTAAAAAAAGATTTTTAAAAGAAAGGGACATTTGTAAATAATTACGCTCTTCTGCATATACCTAGTTTTGTCTTTGTGCAGCACGTTTATGCTACATTATGACCTGCAGGTCAGGTGAATGCTCATTCCAAAACTGACTGATATCATTTTCTTATGATCATACAGTCAGAGGCTGGTAATGGAGATGGACATTTGGGTTTAAAGGGAATGATACAGATGCACAGCATGGAACACACTTTGCCATCCTGCAGGAACTGGATGGACTCTGCTGGACCAGAGCCGGACATCTGCTCGGCTCGGCCTCAAAGTTACAACCCACCGATAAGCAGTGAGGTGGGGCCCTCAAACTGGACTTTAAAATATCAGCAACATACAACTAATTTCATTTTTTTTCTTGCTTGCAATTGAACCATTAAAATATAATATCCGATGCCATTCTGATATCAACCTCCATTTGGGTTGAACAGTTTGACTGATGCTATAAAAGTAATGACAAAATAAAACATCGACATTTTTTGGCAAACATGTCTTTTTATGCTGTAAAAAAAAAAGTGCTCTGCTATAAATGCCTATTTGAAGAGGCGTAAGCGGTGGTGCTCAGCCCTGTGACACTTCCATCTCATATTTCACTGCAATTTAACACACACTCCAATGATTTGTCTGACCTATTTCCCTAACCCTGAGGTTAAACACAGTGGAAGAC